TTCACATCTATACCTCGCACATCAGCACCCTCCTTGGGACGACTGAACCGGACTATGAGGCGACGGCCGCCCATGTCCAGCTCTTGGCTCTTCTCGCGAGCCAGCGTAGCGTCTTTCACAGTGGAAAAACGAACCCAGGCGAAACCTTGAGGAAAGCAGCGCGCTATCATCACTCTCGAGCCCACGAGTGGTCACCTCTGACGGAATCCACGTTAACTCGTCTGAACCCGGGCATGCCCTCGAAGACCTTGGTAAGGCTCGTCCATATCGCCTCCTCGTTGGACCGGTTCTCTTGGCGCGGTAGATTGGGTATGAACAGTTCTGTAGACGGCGTTTCAGGAGCATGCCGTTTAGCGTCGTGCTGATGCCCCTCAGGATGAGACCGCTTGTGGGACTGCTGAGGCTCTGAGAGAGCAAATCACCCAGAGGTAGCTCGCCTTAGACACTACCTGGTCCATCGGCGAAGGGGCATCTTGTGAGGTTATCGGGCGAACGACCCTCATCACTCGGAGAGATGTTGAGGGCATGAAGCCACCTGAGGTTAACAATACTGCCATCCTGGATGCCTGATGCCGTTCCTCACCTTCTTTCTTTACCGCTACTGCCCACTTTCCCCACACATATCATTCGACACACTATATCGGAATCAGGCCATTTGAAAGGCTGACGAAGGTAGTACCTGATGACCTCAGATGAAGTCAGAGTGGAGGAATGCCGTGGTACAGATCAGCATGGCCACAGAAGATGTATCGAGGCTTCAGCAGTACAGCTATCCGAGATACCTATGGAGATAGCATAGCTGGAAAACCCTCCCACTCCTCGGGCACACCTCCTTGCTGGTGATAACGTGCGTCACATGAGGCGGTACTGATGAAACGTCGAGACCAACGCCGTAGCCTTCAGGCCAGTCGTTGGTGAGCAAGACGTCGACCGTGGTGCTCAGCGAAGCGATGCTGAGGGATCGATAGTGACTCCTCCTACCGCGTACTACTACTACTTCTTCTCAAGACTCGCAGCATCGCTATCAGTGCTCATAGCAGCAACGGTCAGACCGGCCACTTGAACGATAGATCCTCCTTCGATGCTGGCCAGGTTATCCAGTGTCGCCACAGCAGTGGTTGCCGATGATGATGATGACGCTAGGTAACGAATCTGCACAGCCTCGATCGTCGCCCAGCAAGTGCCCCTCTTCCTTAGCCGTACCGGTAGAGGCAGCTTCCGCGTTCCCTCCATGAAGGGCTTTAACCCCTCCTCGCCGGCCTCAGAGAAGAAATCCCCAACGCACAAGGCCAGATCAAAGTTCCCAACCTAGATGCTACAATGGTTCGGCAGCGCACTACCACAACCCACCTTCGCTATCTGTTTCTCTGTGGTTGACACGAGTCGCTCGAGATTGCCTCGTACATCTCCGCTCAGTAGAACCTTCACCGACTTACTCGTCATACTATACCAAAGACGCTCTAAAAACTCACTCTTCCACGAAATATCTCCCCTAAACTGAACCCAACATCACAGAAAGATACAACTAGTAAACTTGAATGTCCACTATCAGGACTTATTCAGTATCATTGTTAGTATCAACAAGATCTTCCCACCACTGGTTCACTTTCTCCTTCTCCATTGTAATGGTCAGAATACCCTCATCAATCATCCAGCCGCTACCGTCAGTATCGACATGACCCCATAGAGGACCTATACAGCACAAATCTTCAAGGAAATGAGTTCATTGCAACTCCCATACGCCACGACGCTTCGACTTGAACAGCTTGCGAAAAGAGGCAATAAGATTACTAGTGTCAGCGACAGATGATGATAATCGTAGTCTTTAGTTTCGATGAGAACATCGGCGGAAGTCTCGTATGAGAGCTATCTGGAGTACCCTCTATTGCAACTGGCATGTTGTTGATGTGGACTGAAATGAATTTGGGCTTCATGGTCACTTTGATGTCCCCCTTGGAGACGCCGCTGGCCAGAGGAATATCGATCTCTACCTGATCACCGAGACGGTACCCAGGAAATGATATCAGCATCATCACCTCGTCCTTGGTCTGGCGGTAAGTATATCCCTCCCGCTTCACAGGCTCTTCCCTGTTGGGCATGTTGGCAACGGAAGCAGGCGCCGCCACTTCCGAATTAGATCCTAGCAAGATCGAGGCGGTAATATACAGAACACGTCTAGAGAGGACTACAGCTTACCCATGCCGTATTGGCTCGTGAGTGCACTCAGAGTCGTACCACCGCCCTGCCTCCTGTTGATGGACTTCGCCATAGCTATCCACTCCAAGCCGGAGTTGAGGTCCGTCTCGTTGAAGTCAGTCCTGAACAGGCCCTTCCTCAACACAACTATATTCTTCCATTACCTGAACCATTCATCTTTCCCATCATCGTACATTCTCCCCACGAATGCATCCCCGCGTATTTGGTTACCAAGAAGACCGCATGCTGAGG